TGACACGCATAAATCGAGAACTGGTAAAAAAAAATAAAAATAAAAAATAAAATGCTTTCGTTCTTTCAACCCGGTCTCTACCTTCTTCCCCCGAATACAACGTACTGAAAGATGCCTCAAGGAGCGCTAAAATGACCGTACGTTGTATTCAGGGGAAGAAGGTAGCTGCCGCAGTGAAGTTGAAGTCCCCTCACGTTGCTGGGAGCCCATGTGCGACGTGGCAGGTTCCTTGGCCGCTGATTTTCATAATCGACAATTAAGGTAAATCGGAGAACCCGGGTGAGTGGGCCTACCGTCTCGAGTTCTTCCTCGAACATACACACCCTGATAATGGACGCATTATGCATACGAGTGATCTTTCCGGTCCGGTACAGTAAGTATTGACGGAGCGTTGTGTAGAGGGAAATAACGGTTTAACAACCCCCCTTCTATAGGCGATTCAGGGGACACTACTGACCGGAAAATCCGGTACACAGTCAAATTGACGGTCACCGTGGTATTGTATAGGGGGGAAAAAGACTTAACCTTATTCCAATTATCCCCCTATATAGGCGATTTGGCCGGAAAGATCCGGCCAACACAGTCAGATTGAAGGCGGCGTTGTATAGGGGGAAAAAAGACCTACCCCCATTATTCCCCTATAGGCGATTCAGGGGACGGTGGCGTTGTGTAGGGGGGAAAAATACCTACCCCTATTATCCCCCTATAGGCGATTCAGGGGACCCTACTGGCCGGTGGCCGGTGACTGAGTAGGATGAAGCAACTCAGCGTTTTCTTTTGGGGCGGACTTCGCGACCTGCGGTTTTCAAGACGGCGGGGGGGGGTGGGGGTCATCTACCCACGACGGCTGGGGGTGGAGAGGGATCATCTACCCACGCCTCACACTCTCCAATTTCCTTTTTTTCTTTTTTGCTTTCCAATTTAAAGAAATGCCGTACTGTAGCAATATCAGACCACCAACATCAAACACTATCAGACCACCATTTAAAAAAATAAATAAATACAAAAATAAATAAAAATAAAATAAAACAATCGGACCCTGTCGAACCAACATTAATAAATAAAAAAATAAATAAACATAAAATAAAACAATCGGACCCTGTCGACCCCATTTTACTGGGGTTCACAAAGTTAAACCCACCTTCTCAGCTCCTACCCACCGGATCCACCCCGTTTGACTGTAAACCAGGTCACAACCATCTTAAACCACCAGTACCTGGCCCAGCTATTGGCCGCAGAAAAAAAAAAAAAAAAAAAGGAGTAAATCATTTCTCGTCGGATGAATTTGGGCCCTCCTGTAGTGGCCAATACATTNAAAGGAGTAAATCATTTCTCGTCGGATGAATTTGGGCCCTCCTGTAGTGGCCAATACATTTCCTAAAATCGTGGATTGGTTTATAAGACCAATGACTTGCTATGGTTTCACTTATCACTCGACGTATCACCGAGCAAAATCCGAACTCGACAGTTTTTTGTTGGTTTTGTCTTTTCTTTTCAATCGGGACTGAATGAAGGTTGACATTGGTTAACATGTAACCAGAAAAAAGAGGTGAAACCCACCTTAGCGCGCGCGCCTTCAACACCCTCCACCACGCTGGACATTCCGAACACTTCCATAACCTCGTCGCCGCCGGAATTGACGAAAAAGAGCATGTGTCCCGACGGCACCCCGTACACGTCAGATGTCGACAGTTTCTTCACGTAGTGCTTGCCTTCAAGATGGAACTCAATGCGTCCACGTCCTGCGCGATGCCACGTGGCAGATCGTCGTTAGACTCTAATGCTGTTTTTTTTTTATAACTACGTTCTTCAAGTTTGAGACGCTGCTGTCAGGATCTCAACCCGTGATCTGACAATCAACAGCCGCAGGCATGCGTGCACCGTGCTACCCTGTGTACCCTCCTTTCAGCAGCAACGAGAGTGGTGGGGTCGTACGCTGCTGCCTTCTCAGACTCACATTCGGGAGGGCGAAGGGTCAATCGTGCAGTCACAAAAACATTTCAACAAGCAATGCACACATAATAACATATGCATTTCTCAGTCAACAGACGAAGCCAAGACGGACCAATGACCATTACACAGTGATACACACACACACACACACACACACAGACAAAAAGACGGACCAATGACCATTACACACACACACACACACACACACACACACAACACACAATGATTACACACATCACACACTCCAGAAATTACTCACGTACAAACACATTCCACACATACACATTTCCACACTCACAAACTCATCACGCATTAACACACTCACTTCACTACACGCATCACACACACATACACTCACTGGGACTCGCATAACACTCACATACCACAGATACAACACACTCGACACTGACGACAATTGAAATATCTATATTTACATAATCTTATTTCATAAACAGTTTATAAACGACAATTAAATCTTATTTCATAAACAGTAAATTCGACAATTAAATCTTATTTCATAAACAGTAAATAAACGACAATTGAAATATCTATGTTTAACACATTATCTTATTTCATAAACAGTAAATAGCCCACTCACCACATACCGCACACACTACATAACCCACTCATCACATGCCACAAAGCAAAACACACTCGTCACAGTCAGAACATACTTTTAAAACGCTCATCACAACTATTACACACATCACATAACACAAAACATAAAACGTTTTATTCCCTCTTTACGCACAGAACACACTCATTGTCACAGACAGTCGAGATTTAATCAGCTGCAACAATAACAAAAACATACTCCACTCCACTTCTCCTACACACACAGCAACGAAAACCCACGCCCGCAGCATACACGCGCACAATCAAGGATTAACCCCGGGGACGAGTTTCCAGAGGTGACAGGGCAATGCACGCATTAAGAAATTTAAGAGTAAAGAGACAACGTCGATGATGGATGGTCAACTCACTCTTCATCTATCCGCGTAAAAGAGCCTAACAGACTCAACCCCACAACCAACCAAAAGAGGCCATAATTCCTGGTCAACTTCTCAAATATTTAGAGTCCCGTGTTTGCCAAAAAACGGACGTCAAAGTCACGTCATAAAAAAATAGGAATCAATAACATAATCGGCCAGTTGCGTCCAAAATATGCTCCACAAAGAAATAAAAAATAACCCAGCACCGAAGAAGACATGGGAATCACCCCTCCTTCAAGGCTACATAGGACGGATACATACTAGTAATGGAATTGCCTATTAATCACTTTGACTAGCTGTTTTTAGTAACTTTTTACATAAAGTATTAAAATAAAGGCTGTTGGATTAATAATATAAAGTGCCGTTGCAATAAACTGCTACAGCGTTGCCCGGCACTGATATTTATCCGATAACCTTCTTATCGTTGACTCCATTCTTTTCTTCTTTTCTTTCTTACGGTTGACTCTATATTCTTACTGTTATTTTCTTACGGTTGACTCTATATATATATATGAGAGAGAGAGAGAGAGAGAGAGAGAGAGAGAGAGAGAGAGAGAGAGAGAGAGAGAGAGAGAGAGAGGACCTTGGAGGACGAAGAAGACCATGTCGTAGTTGAAGTACATGGGTAAGCTCATCGCATTCGAGTTGATTCTGAGGATACCGATCCCAATCTCTCTGTGCCGGTGAGTGCTCACATTCAGCCTCCACGTGGTCACCGACCCCGCATCCGTGTCAACGACGACCCGCGGCTTTCCCACGAACGCCTGAAATCCCTCCAATCTGGTCTTCTCGGACACATTATCATCATCTTGTCCACCTTCCTTCTCCCCATCCTGTCTTGCGAAATCGACAGCTTCAACCATGATGTCTTCCAACCCCTCCTCTCCGGTTTCACCCTGACCACCTCCCTGGCTATTCAGGCGCAGGAAGGGGGCAGCCATACCCCCCCCTCTCGACCACTCACCCTCACCAGAGGGTGTGTTGTATCCCCCATGATAGCCAGCAAGACCACTCTTACCATCCACAGGGGTGGCAATAAGACAACCGACACACAGCCCAGCAACAAGGGCCACCATCAACAGCAAGCTCCGACATAGCTGGCGGGCACTTCTTCCAGCCAGCAAGCTCCGACATAGCTGGCGGGCACTTCTTCCAGCCATCGGGATCCCGACGAGTCGACGACACTTCTCGGGATTCCGACGATACTTCGCCACAGAACTGAGAGACTGGGTCGACGTCTGTCGTCGCGATCCCGAGGTCGCGGTGGCCGAAGTCAGCGCAGTCGATCAGCCAATGCGTTGCTCGAGATAAGTCATCGCGATCCCGGCGTCCGTGCTCCTTCCTAAAAGAAAGAAGAAGAGACTTGTGCTCTCCTACTCCTCTCCTCCCTCAACCTCTTCTCTTCTCACTCTCCTCACTCTCCTCCCTCACCTCTGTCCTCCCTCCGACCGCTGACCTGCCACGGTTCACGCACTCCGCCAGCTGCACTGATCGATGGAGCTCGACAGACATATATGTAGTCAACCAGAGCTGCCCGGTAAACCGTAGGCAGATAGGGATAAGGGAGAAGAGGACAACAAACTAGGGGCTATCTGTGACAAAGTGTTTCGTCGGAGTTTCACCGACGCATCAGGAGGCTGAACCGTCAACAGTCTGCAGAACCCCCTAACTGATTACACTACACACATATGACGTACATGCATCATGATGCATTTGGGGGGGGAGGGAGGGGGAGTTGCCAAGTCTCCTTCCCAATCCATTGAGCTGTCTAAAGGACGCGGTGTGAGGGACGCTAGGCCCGATTTTAAGCCTATAATAATTTATATATATATTAAGGAGAAATAAAGGACGAGAGAGGAGAGTAGGTGTCAAAAGCACGCCCGAAGCCCAAGATCTGCTTTCCCACATCGTAAAAGAAATAATATGATAATAAAACGGGCACAACCCCTGTGCTCGGCAGGATTTGAGCTCATGACCAGTTTGTACCGCTCTGCAACAAGACAGCTACGTGAACCGATCTGCAACAAGACAGTTATCCTTTGAAAGAAAGGTATCAATCTCTCCCTCTCCTTGCTATCCATCTCGTCCTCTTTTTTTTTTTTTTTTTCCGCCCCCCATCGCCGGGGAACACAAGGCGGAGCCGCCTAGCTCAGTTGGTAAGGCACGCAAGTGGCATTCAGGAGCTCTTGGGTTCAATCACCATTGGCCTCATGTCCCTTCGTGGGCAAGCTTGGCGCCCGCCACCTAGAGATATGCCCTTGGTCCATTGAGCAGAGACTGCTGATGTTCATAGGGGGAGTGGACCGGAGGGGAGACAGTGACTGGCCCATAGAAGAAGCTTCGTCCTAATGCTGCTGGCTGACCCCTGGCTAGTGTCACCCACCTGCTGTAGCGATGGGTGCAGCTCCTGCATGTACAGCAGGTGGGCACCTGCTGGTGGGTGCAGCTCCCCTCATTGGCCGCTGGAGCACAGATGTGGCTGCTACAGGTTCCCCATAATAATACTATAAGTCTATAATGACAATAATACACAGGTCTCTTCAAGATAAAATAGGAAAATGACACTCCGTAGATGATGCAGATCGCACAGAAGTGAGTCAGAGAAATGGACCGCGGGAAAATCGAGGGCGGCGGGACCACTTCGCCAAATCAAGGCGAGGGAAAAGGACTGGACCTCTGAAGGACCTGACCCTTGTGTGGTGTGCACGCAGGTGTGCGCTTGCGATGAATGTTGCGAGCGGTCGGGGCCTGGAAGGTGCAGCTCGGGAAAGCACACAAGCTATCGTGGCTGGCCAAGCGCCTGTGACTTATACAGTCCCAGGTCAAAGCAGTGGGAGCAGTCGGGCCAGTGAGGTCGTGCTCCAGCCAGAGTGCGTGTCACGTCAAATTCCCAAAGGGATCGTAGATGTTGAGTTGAAGTTCGTCCATCGTCGATTTTATGCCACTGCTCCTCATTGGAAAACACACAGCCGACCCACCCCAGTGGTCCCAGTATGAGTCCAACACTTTTCAAATAACTAGGTTGGAGCTCCTCATGGTCGTCTGGAGAGCCCGCTGTGCATTCGAAAGACACACGAATGCCTTTGGTTACATTCAGGCCAAGGAACATATGGCGGACTACCTCCATATCACCACTAAAGCAGCATGGGACAATCTCAAAGCTGCGATAAAATTGATCGAACAGAACTTGCTCCTGTCGGCATCATAAAAAAAACAGAAAACGGAGGAAGCCACGACCCGGTTCTCAGAACAGTGGCTGGGCCCCCGGAAAACCTTGGCTGATATACAGGACTCACAAATCAATTGGAAACACTGGAGATTGGACGAAAACAAATGGCCCTTAAGGTCTCTCTCTGAGTTCCCGGTCCCGTTCACCACCACCCCACCGTCCTTCGTCCTCATCCAATGATCCCCCCTCCCCCCTTCGCCCGACCCCTCCCCCCTTCGCCCGACCCCTCCCCCCTTCGCCCGACCCCTCCCCTCTCCCCCTCAACCCCCCCCCACCCCCCCTTCCCCTCCTCAGGGAATCACGGAGGCCAGTGGCGGAAGAGACAAGACTCAGACCTACCAGCTCGCTGCTTACAGTCTACGATGGAAGGCGGGGACAACGACCAGTCAAAAGCCTCGAAGTTTCAATATGACTGGATACAAATCTGCAGGGAGGGAGGGGGGCCTGGGACTGAAAGTGAGGTGGGGAAGGGGGGGACTGAAAGGCAGTCTGGGGTTTAGGGTTCAATTACTTCACTGTTCATAACAGGGGTGAACTGTGCTGCCTTTATATGTCAAGACTCACGAACTGCGGGGGGGGGCACGGGAGTGTCAAGGTTAGTAGGGTTTTAGGGTTTAACAAGTTTCTGGTTATAAAACTGGGGTGACGACTGAGGTCTCGACGTCCACAGGGACACAGATGGAGTAATTGATTGGTTTAACAAGCTTCTGGTTAAAAACTGGGGTGACGACGGAAGACTCGACGTCCACAGTGACACAGAAGGAGCTGGGCCACGTTGTGATGGCAATAAATGACGACAGCCTGAACTGATCAACCGCCAAAGACCCTGCATGAACTGCCCGGCCTTCCATGAACGTGCATGACGACCGAATGTGAGGGAAAGGGCGACTGGGTGCACGGTTTGAAGGGGACAACGGACATGATGCATTGCGCACAGGGGGGCTGCACACAACCTAGGTGTGATGGAAAGGCCGATTGGGTGCAGGGCTTGAAGGGGACAAGGGACATGGAGAATTGCGCACGGGGGGCTGCACTCAGCGGTTGGGCTAGAATTTACGGGGTGCTCCAAGAAGGGAGGGACGGGACAAAAGACACCCGATTCCAAAAAAGTGAGAGAATCCCCACATCCGATTGAAACATGGAAAACACAAAAGGGGGTTTGCATACACCGAGGATAGGTCTTCAGGTTATGCCACCTGTAGAACGAAAACATGAAAGCAAGGTGGACTCTGTCCTGGGTGGGGCTAGGCCAGCTGGATGATGAGTCTCTGTAGTTTGGAAGGGTAACATAAGCAGCCCCGAGGGAAAGAGTGAGGCTCTGGAGTAGGAACTTAGATGGCCAATGCCCAATAACATTTCTCTGCAATGATGTATCCTAGGGACGTCGGACCCGATTTCCAGCAGGTGCCGCTCCCCACCAATAGATGGAGCCTCCCCGGCGATGCTAGAGGTGTCTGCTCTTATCAGCACACCTAGCATCCGACCGGGTTGTTCTTAAAAAAAAAAAACAAAAAAAAAACTGCACTCTCCGTTGTCTTGTAGACCTTAGATGTGGTAGATCTGCAGTTGGGACCTCTGATGTGGGTCGAGGGTGTTCTTCTTGTTGAATCTGTTTCGTCCAGCTTGCGTGCAACCAGGTGCGGAGTTGTTGGCATAATGTTACAGAGGTCTCTTCCAGATAAAATAGGAAAATGATACTTTGTAGATGATGCCAGATCGTGCAGAAGTGAGTCAGAGAAATATGTCGAACGCCCGCACACCTCCTGGAACCACCCAATTCTCTCCATCGTCCCGCAAGTGACATCGTCGCCTTGTAGGGAATGGTGGAACGAACGACTGAGCGATGGCGGCTGGAGATAGAAGCGTAGCACTCTAGCGTTTGAAGGTGGATATGAAGCGGGTCTTCAGTGGAGCAGCGCATTGGTTTGCGAGTATGGGGCTGGTCGGCGATGGAGAGGTTCACTAAAATATTCAAGGAACTCCAAACTTCGTCAGAATGACTTCAGCATCATCCCACTGACGGCCACTCAAAACAATCATCTTAGTCTCTTAGAATGGTACCGGAAAGCTTCCGGCTAGCCTTCGAACCCCCAATTGGTTGACACATCCATTTATCTAAAAAAAATCAGGTTTAACCCCCTGATGGGTCTTTCTAAAAAACTTGGGTGGCTCAGACAAAATCTGAACCAACCATTCATGAGAGAAACCATTCATTGAAAATCCTTGTCCAGGTTTTGTATCCCACTTCAATTATGAGTCATCACACATGATATTTTTCATGCATGCTTTGTGATATGCATCGAGGAGTGGTGTAATCCTCAAGGGATAACATCTCGACGTCAAACCGCGCTTTAGACTCGAGCCTCACCACATTCCCTTCGATTCCAGCGCCATGTTTTTGCTAGTCCCCTACTTGTAAGGTTGAACTACCCCTTCTCTATGGCCTAGGCTGGTCAGACCCGACCATAGAGGCGAGGCGACCCCACCCGTCACAAGGCCAAGGTGACCACTCCTTTCCCATGGCGGACGACAGTCGTCACCCTCACAAGTTGGGATTATCGAGGAAATGACTCGGATTTTAGTTTGAGCTTCGACTTATTTTCGATTGAAAGAAGTTTGTTGTCATTTCTACTGAAGAGTTCCGTAAGAATCCAGAAATACCTGTGTTGTTTGTTAATAAATGGTGAACGACGGGGACGTCGTTTAATGGGGCCTGGGAATGCTGTCGGGGAAAAAACCCCGACAAGGGTATTTGCCGGGGGTTTTGAATGTCGGACGGTGTCCGACTTTTCCTTGTTGGGTTGAAGGGCTTGATGAGACTGATGTTGCCAAAAGTTATTCTGACCTGATCTGTGACTGGAGGATTAAAAGTTTGTGAATTATGGTCTGGACGCGTGTAGCATCCAGGAGTAACGAGTGTTAACGGTTATACTTCGTTTTTTTCGAAGCCGCAGGAATGTGCGGACATGAGAATGTTAAAATTAAACCTAGTCTACCTATAATAAAGGGTCGCTGCGATGAGGTTGGGATCGCAGCGTGAAGGGATAGGGAGTTTTTAGGGTCCGCGGGGCGCGCGCCAAGGACCAGGGGCGACGACGTTGAGGCTCCTGAGTAGGGCAGCTGTTAAGGTCGTCGGCCGCCAACCCAGCCAGCCAGTAGCGGTAATGAGCGGGCTTAGCGCTGGATGGGGGCCCGCTGGGCTGATGCTCTTCAAATAGAAGGGTAGCTTGTCT